ATTAAATCAAAATAACTGTTGTGATTTAATAGCAGGACAAAACTACAGATGAAATACTCAAACCTCCCATGGTCGTTGATGTAAAACACAAGATTTCTATAGTTAATCAGGAGAAGCTCGTTGCTTTTTCCCGATACAGCATAGCTCAGGAGTGTTCCTTCATTTCTAGTATCAGCGGTTTTTATCCACAGACAAACCGTCACAGCTGACAGGTTTGGCATACTACGTGAAATGATGACGTAATCACTGGTTCCTTTTCGTGGAAATTGCAGAGCGTACCCTGCAACTGTAGAATTAATCAGTTTTTTAATTTGTCAACGCTGCTCTCGAGACCTCTTTAAAAAAAGTTCTGCTCTCGTCTTTAGATTTAATTGTTTTTGGTGCAACTACTGATTTGATGCAAGTCACAAGGGTAGTTCAATAACAAAAGGTTATAGTTCTAGAGATTACTGTTAACGTTTTCAGGAGAACTATCAACTTACACCTTTTTCAAACCATTGGTCGAGCGAGTCTCCGATTACAACAGCGTTCCAAGAAATGTTGTCGTTGTTGGTTTTTTTTTTTTATGAGCATGCCACGCAACCCCACAAACAAATTTTTTTCAAGCGTCAAAAGCTTAGTATCACCACCCAAGTGGCCGATGAAGGAAGCGAAACAATTTTTTACGATGCACAAATAATAACAGTTATGAGTGCTGTACAACTTACTAAGTTACCTCGCCTCGTACGCTTGCAGTTAACACTCGAGTAACAGGTTTCCACGCTATTACTAACGTAGTTCAGTATAGCCCATGAAAAGCATCGTCTGACCAAAACTAATTCTAAAAACAAAAATTTCTGCAATCTAAACCGTGAGGAACTCAGAGAGTGCTCCCTTTTCTAAATCGAAATTGGAGAAATTTTGGTGATTGAGAAGCACACAGGTAATGTATTTTTTTAAAAGGTAATGTTTACAAGTTGTAAGGAGCAGTCCAATACAATGTAAAGACATTCAGTAATCTCATCTGTATCAAGAAAGAAAGCTTATCCTACCTTGTTTCTCCAAGCCTGTTAGCCTCAAGTTCATGGCGTGAAGTAAATTGGACAAATCTTCATTAGACTCACTTAATAACTTTAATTTCTTTTTGATTTTAGCCAATTCCAGTTTCGTTTCTCGGGTGGAAGAC